TATATTATATATCTATCATATATATATATATACATATATATATAACATATCACATACATAAATGTACAATGGGGTATAAAAATTGCATCTAAATATCTAACTCATTAAATAGCAACTTCAAAAACCCAAAGCCTTAAAGTACTCCCATATACAAATTCGGGGTCTCTTACAACACTATTGTTTCACATAAGACAATTTATTACATAGTGTCATCAGTATTTTTTTAATATTTTTATTCATTTCAGAGAGGAAGAGAAATAGAGATAGAAACATCAAAGATGAGAGAGACTCATTGATCAGCTGCCTCCTGCACGCCCCACACTGGGGACCAAGTCCACAACCTGGGCATGTGCCTTGACTGGGAATGGGACTGAGACTTCCTGGTTTATGGGTCGATGCTCAGCCACTGAATCACACTGGCTGGGCTCATCAGTATTTTTTTCTTTTGGCAAGTTCAATTTTATTCACTTTATTTTCTATTGTCCTTTCTACATCTCTACAAAATTCTCAGGGCTGTCATTCTTGAGAGAGAAACATTTTGGTATTATATCACAATCTCCCAAAATAATCTCTTTCCTGTTCTCAATGACCATGAACTAAAATGTGCTAATTGATAATTAAGGAAATAATAGAAAGTAAAACAAAATATAACCACCCCCAGGGATATTTTATTTAAGGAGGGATTTCTAAAGGATTCAAGACCCAGAGAGCACAGTTCTGGATGTGGAATGATCAGTGGTAGAGACAATATTTGGAAAAGGAGATAAGAAACCTAAGGAGGCATGTGTCAGAATCTGGCATGTGACCTGGTTGCATATACCAGGTGAGGGAAAGATCTAGCACTGTCCACAGCTGGTTCAGAGCAATGCCCTCACTAGTAAAAGAAACTGCCCTTTTCTCAACTATAGACTACCGTCAAAATGACCAATTGCCTTATCTGATCAGGGCTCCCTAGCCAGAATGTAATGAAGGCAAAGCTGCCAGTTCCTAAAGCTGGCTCTAGGCTGGTTATCTGGGGCTTAAGGCAGTATCAAGGAGAGTCTTGGGTTCACACAAGGTAAACCTTAGGAAAACGATTCTTTTCCTTTCTGCATAATTTCTCCCCTTTCTGATTCCCTCCCTATCTTCCCCAGATGCCCCAGCTCCCCAGACTCCTATCTCACATGGGGTTTTTATCATCAATAGACCATATTTTCCTCAGATCTGTTAAGAAAGGTACCTAGATGAAATAGACATAAACAATGCATCTCTAGACACTGCTCTTTCATTTTTTCTGCCTCGCTGTTCCAGTTTTCACTTCATTTTGACATAGCCCTTTCGTTTAAATGGATTATATGGGCCCTTAAGAATAGTGCTTTTCGTATTTTTATTCAACCACAGGGCAACTCCTGTTTCTTGCCAAGACAGGAAAATAGTCTTGGTCATCACCAACCTTCTGTATCCTGAGAACCCTTGTCCACCAATTCCAAATCCTCTCTATCAACCCTTAGGTGATCCTTTCTCTTCTTAATGAGGAATCTCCAGATGAGCTAAGAGATTCCCAAAACATAGCAGGAGACATCATCCCTTTCCCAGAAAGTTTGAACTGTTGGGTGGTAACTTGGAATAGTGGTGAAGTCAGTGTATGGGCCCCAGGTTTGGTTCAGGTCCCAACTCTGCCTTTAATTAGCTGTGGCCCAGACAAATAATTTAGCTTTCCTTAGCCTGTATTTACTTTTCTACAAAGTGGAAATAATGATACTAATGTATATCTCATGGGGTTATGACAATATTTGAATAATATAATGTATGTGAAGAGTTTAGGCCCGGTACCTGGGACACAGTAGGACCTGAATAATTGGTAGCTATTATTTGTATAAAGCCCACATTATGAACAGATGGTATCAGCTTTAACAGTCCAGCTCAGCAGCTTTCTTGTTAGGTAATTTTAGGCAAACTAATATATCTTTGAGCCTCAGCTCTTCATTTTTAAATGGGGATAATTCATCCACCCTCCAGGACTGCTTATGAGGCTTAAATTTTCTAGCACTGTTCCAGAAGATAACCAATGACTACTACAAATAGTAGTAGTATTTAACATATTTTCCTTTATCCGGTTAGGGTCAGAATATAAGTCCTGCCTTTGACTTTGAACACTAGGCTCTGAAGAGCTCCCTTGACGAGTTTCCTACAGCTTTCAGCCTCCAATTAAAGTAACACCACCACTTAATTCCTGTGTTCATGGGAGCCTAGCCAAATCATTTCCATTGGTGGTTCCAGATTTTGGGATTTCACACACCAGTAAACTTAAATGTGTTTTGTTTTTTTTTTTAACATGGGGCTTAAAATGGAGAACTGACATTTTTCCCAGCAAAGAGGTTTTTATTTTTGTTTTAAATACCATTTATGATAACTGTAGTTTCATGAAAGAAAAGACATTTTGTCATTAAGTAGAAACACAAATCAAGAAAAAAAAGTCCACCTTACACACACACACACACACACACACACACACACACACACACACACAGTGTTGTCTTTTTATTTTACCATTAATAGGGAATATGTTACCATGGAATGCCAAGTGGTCCACAAATTCCACAACTGTGAGTGGGATCCCCTGACCTACATTATCTTGGAGCTGGCCTCACCTGCACACTAGGGTTTTTCCTTACTGTTCCATAGCATAGGTAATCAGGACAGGGATATGCTTCTTCCGGGTCCTAGACCCCTTGACCATCTGCCCTCCAGAGCCTCTAAGGAGTGGAAGGGTTGAAGCCCCTCTTCTCTGTAGTTGTGCAGTGTTCTCACATCCTCTCTGAGGTTGACTCCCCTGTCCAACCAGGTGCATGCCGCTCTTCTATTTCCAAACAGTTCCCATGCCTCCCAACAAGTCTCACATCTGCTCGTTAAGCATTTTGCAGAGAGATGCTCACTTATATGCAGGATGTTGTCCATATTATTATTCCCCTTTCATGATATATAAATTGAGGTCCTAGGAGGTCAAGAGGCTTTCCACGGGAACCCAGAAATGAGTCCCTCACTATTTCTGATCTGGGTCCCAGGACAGGGTAAAAACAATAAGAAATGGATGTCTAGTAGGCAACAGTGAGGCTGCATGAGTAGAACTTTTGTCCAGTGTCACCAGCCGATACTATTTTGTTCCGTTCAATCTATGGGCATTTACTGAATCCCTGTTAGATGCTGTGCTAGGCCTAGAATACAATATGAAGAAATATAGACTCTACTCTCAAGGCAACAGTCTATAATTTATTCTTCCAAGGCACAGGAAGAACCTTGTGTAATTTTCATTCAATATGCCAAAGACCCAGACTGGCAGGTGTGGCCAGAAAAGGCAGCCACAGGGAGTAGACTCAGCATGAAGGGCTCTTAGGAAATTTCTGTGGTGTTAATCTATGTGTAAGGACAGATTTTACATAGTTTTTTCTGAAGGGCTCTTTCTTCTCCCTGAAGACACATGATTTCCTCCCTTAAAGATATCTGAAAGATTTTGGCAGAGTCTTCTTCATGTTAATATTTTCATCAAAAGCAAATCCTACCGACTGAATAAACGGAGGACAGTTGGAGGAAGTAGAAAGACACTAACCTGGGGTCATGTAAACAAGTTCTACTCTTGGCCCTGCCACCAAGCAAATTAATGCCTTGTGCAAATCAGTGTACTTCTCCAGACCTCAGTTTCCTCATCTGAAAAATGAGTCCATTGAACAAACTATACTAGTAACAGTTACTATATACAAACATATAGCACTTACTATGTGCAGATTCTCAGGGCTCTGCACATATTACCTTACTTAATCCCCACAACTCTATGAGATAGAGGAGACAAGAGCAGATAGACATTTTAGTCTCTACTTTACAGAGAGATTTTTAAAAAATAGTCTTGCTCAAAGTCTTGTAACTAGTAAGTAGCAGAGATGGGATTTAGACACAATCTATTTCTAACTTGATCACAATGATGAGCTGCTTTTCAACAACTGAGAATTAGATGGTACTAACGTCCCTTTTACTAGTATTGTTTAAGTTCTGTTGATCTATGAGTTTAAGATGGCCCCCAATGGCTCTGATTCTATATTTTAGACCAGTGGAGCAAAGAGCCTCTAAAAAACAATATATAATCTAAGAATCAAAACTTGCAGCTCATACTACATTAGGAATAAAAATGTTCAAAGTGCTTTCACAGATATGATCACTTTAGGGCTTAATTAGATATTGTATACTTAGGGAAGGTAAAAGCACCATCTCTGAGACCTGAGAGAGGAAGCCCAGAGAGGCTGGACTTACTTAAGGCACTCAGTAAAACCAGGGGATGAGTCTTACTTCTCAAGCAAGACTGTAACCTTCAGGCTGGTGTCCTGGGCCCAGCCAACCTGAGTCACACATTTCCTCCAGGACTCCCTCCTGGCTTCAGAGAGACCCACTGAGTTCTGAGTAATGACAGAGAAAGGAGCCCTTCCCTCAGAGGCTCTGCTCTGTGCCCCTCCAGTGCTGGGACCCTCATAGGGACACCAAGATATCTGGCTCTGCAATTGGGGGTGGGGGCGGGGGGGGCGGTCAGCTCACACAACCATTCACAATTCAGATGCATATGGGGGTCACTGCAGAATGAGCTGCTCTGGCCTTAAACTTCATTCCAGGCCTTTTAAAGAGCTGGCTAACCTCACAGCCTCTGCTAGCTCTGCTCCTCCTTCCTCCAGGTCTACAAGGAAGCTTCTACCCTCACCCAAAGGAAACTGCCAGTTCAAACATCACCTGTGACTTTCTGGTTTAAAAAACAGCTGCTTGTTCCCTTAACCCCACCTGGTGCTTTCCCAGCATTGAATTTCTGATCACATCTGCTCCTCCCCCGGGAATATGCGTCCCACCATCCTGCCTTCAGATCCAGCCCAGGTTTGCAGACTGACCTCAGACATCACCTCTTCCAGGAAGCCTCTTCCAGTCAGACGTGATCTATTTTTCTTTGACCGCCCACAGTACTTGCACCTTTCTTATCACACACTCACCTTCTGCTTTTTCTATTGCAGTTGGGCTTTTACTTTCTTATCTCCTTCACACCCCGGCTGCTTTTGACTTCTTGGGAATGCCAGGAGCAGTGCCTCGCACTGATAAATATCTGCTTGACCTTAAATTAATCTTCTCTCACTCCATTGAAGGGTTTACTCTGCAAAAATATATGGCAAAGAAAAGGGGTCATTAGACTTTACCGTCTTTCCCAAATTTCACCAATTGATTTTTTTTTTTATCAATTCCTGACTGACAGAGCTCAGCCCCAGAGGTGAGGACATCCTTTCAGTAACTGCCATGTAGCCTGTCTCCAAAGAGGTTTCTGAGTGTGAACATGTCAGTCTGAGACTCTGTTAATTGGACCTGCAGCTGCTCAAGGTCCACACAGCACAGCTGCTGTGTTACCCCAGAAATGGAGAGCTTGGGATGATGTAAGCAAAGGATACAGGATCAGGAAAATGTCCTTGCTCTTTCAGGGCACTCAATTTTCACTTAAACTCATCGTCCTTACAGAGGGAGGAGGTGGGACCAATGAAAGGTTAGCTGATGTGTTTTGGTCTCCCTTTCCTCTCCCACACTTCATAGTTATAATGTATTAGAAAAGGGGGACTGTTACTTGGAATTTTGACATTTGCAAAGAGTTTAAGTTTAAATAATTCTGGTGGGGAAAACCCCCCAATCTTTTCTCCTAAAGACAGTAAAACCTGCCAGAATACAAATGCTCCCAACACTTTCAAGAGTCTCTTTTTACAAATAACTATGTATGCTATTCTATACAGTAGCTCAAAACACCACAACTAGTATTTGACTGGTTTTCAGCTCACGAACACGTGGATCTGGAGAACCGGAACCAGTGCTTTGGGGATTAGGTTTGGTGGAAAAGAGAGTCTCCCAGGTCTGTCTACCTGCCCTAAACAAGGCAAACCCAGAGCACCTCTGGGACTTAGACACCATCCACCAGAAAGTGGGTGAGTGTCTATTGTTCACTTGATCAAATCAGGTGCTTGGGAAAAAGTTGAGAAAAAAGGCAAAATGGGTCATCCTTCTTCCTCACAGGGTAGTGTTTCTTCATCTTTTCTTTATCACTCCTCTAAGAAGTCTTTTTAAACTTTTTTCCTGATTGCTCCTCCTTGACAATTTCATGCCACAGCTATACTGCATAGCTGTGTGCTGTGACTCTTGGATGCCACAAGCCATTGTCATGCCTCAGAATTTTGTGTCCCTCAAACACTGATCCCACCCCTACAGCCTGGGGGTCGTGGAAGGGGGTTGGCACCCTTCCCTTGAGAATGTATGTCACAGACCTACCCTGTGGGTTGAGAAGCAACTAGACCCTTCCTGGGAACCACCCCTGGGCTTCCTTTTCCTCTCACTCTTCCCTCAGACCCATTATGATCCTTGCAGACACAGAGCTAGAAGTCCAAGGGGACTGGGCAACTGCTCTATGGAACCCCAAGATGACTGGGAAACTGTTCTGTGAAATGCCATGGCAATGTGAGGGCATCAAGGCAGAGAGACTAACAAGTCCAGAGAAATGGCATGTTTCAGTAAAACTCTAGGTTCCACAGTAGCAAGTGTTGTGCTAATAAACACAAGACATGAATTAATGGGTAAAACTCTGTTGTAAATTCATCCAAAGAATAGCATTACAGGTTTCAGAAACTGGTTATTCCATTGCCCCTTTTATCAGCAAAAGGTTATTAAATTGGGTTTTTCCTTCCATCTAATTCATTTTTCCAATATTACAATTAACTTGAAAAATGCACCTCAACTTCTGCACCTTCCCTTTTGCCTGAACACTTTATAGGCACATCATAATGATTCCAGTTATTAGCTCACTTTAGGCCAAAAAGAAGAAGGCTAACAATACATTAACATTTCCATTATCAATCATAAAATTGCTGGTCAGCTCTTTAAATGATATATTGTTCAGCACATTAAATTCTTGAACTCAGCAAAAATGTATAAATACTTTTACTCCTGAAATTATGGTTTAAGAGAGACACATGGCAAGGTAAATGGGAAGTGAAGATAATCAATTTAGACTGGTCTAAATGGAAGAAAAATGGATTGCTATTTTTTCCTTTATCTAATATAGTAATTGAGTGCCCATGGTACCCATTTTGATACTCATTTGATACCCATTTTGGTATTAAAGAAGTAGCAGTGAGCAACCAATCAAAAACTTCTTAGCCTTTGGCTTTGTGCTAGTGGTTAAGCATCTGTTCTACACATGCCACCTTGGGAGAGAGCCAGTGGACATTTACCAACTGATATCAGTAAAACGGGGTTATTCTCCTCTCACCTGTGCAACAGAGGCCGATTTGAAATTCATGCCAGCTCTGTACCAGTCACTGCAGATTCCACAGGTTTATTAACCTCCTCCTAAACATTCCTTACTGCCAACATTGTGAGATCTCAATAGTGCTTCCAGGCGAATCTCCTCCTTAACACTAGCTTTCTCCACAAAAATAGAAAAAAAATGTTTTTGTTGTTTTTTTGTTTTTGTTGTGTTTTGTTGTTGTTGTTGGCATTCCCTTAACAGTGTGTGTAACAGGGATAAGCAAACTAAGGCCTGTGGGCTAACTCCAGTCACCCACATTCGCTTCCCTATTGTCTTTGGCTGTTTTCCCTACAAGAGCAGTGCTGAGTAGTTAAAACATAAACTGTTTGACTTGCAAAACCAAATATAATTACTGTCCAGCCCTTTACAGAAAAAGTTTATTTAACTCCGTTTTGTGACATGGATTTTTTTAAATAAAAATGAGAGGGGGATTAAAACTTGTTTCTTCTATAGTTTAGAATTCATATTTTAGGATTAATTTGAGAGCAGAATAATGTATGATTGTTTTTCTACTCCTGGGAAGAAATGAAATTTGGAAATATAAACCCAGAAACGTAATAAAAACATTATTGGTAATGATATGAGTTGTATATCGGCCATCTGTTATTTTTATTGAAAAGCAATATTAAGTTTTCTCTTTGAACAATAACCATATAAGCCCATTATAGAACAGACTGGCATTTTCCTAAAGCATAGATGTTCTCTTCTTAAGCAAGAAAGCATATTTGAGAAATGGACATAAAGACTTTTTTATACCTGTATATAAATTTAACAGTAATATTCCAAATGATCTCTTAAAGAATATCAAGGCAAAAATATAGTGCAATTAATGTTATATTGTTGTTGAATGTGATATTATTTAAGGAGAATCAGAGATCTGAGAACATGAATATAGCAGTCAGTGGTTGTACTTACCGGTACAATAGTATGTTTACATCTAAATTTTTTAAAGCAACATATATACATTTAACCTGCTAATCTTTATTAAATATCTGCTATTAAATATATTAAGTATATTAAATATCTGCTAAGTAGCACTAAGACACAAAGCTATAAGACATATTCCCCTGCTCTCAGACAACTTAAAATATAGCAGAGATGCTAAGATTTGCAAACATATTCTCTAAATGCTATTTTACATACTTTTTAAAATTTCAACATATTGAACAAAGCTAAAAAAAAAGCTTTATGCTTGAGTTAAACAATTATCTGATTATCATAACTTTAACAGTATAAAAAATGCCAACTTCATGCACCCTTAAAAAATTTATCTTTCCTTCCCAGGTGCTATAGTGACTAAAATTCTACTATAGTGTAGAAATTCACTTCCTAGGCATATTTAGGTACTGGCATTTTTAAATATAAAAATTGTGCATCCAATTATTACAATAGATTACTTTTATTTTTTTCTGGCAATCTCACCTAAAATGGAATTGCCTATAGATGATTTAACATGTCATGTAATTTATCAGATCACTTTCCACTATGAGAAATAGGACTCCAGCTCCAGCTTTATGTGAGAGATCATGAAAGAGACAACATACACAAAGTGGGGGTGGAAGGGAGGAACCCAGCAAAATAAGCTTAACTCCTCACAATTTATTGAGACTGGGTGTGTGTAAGGAGTTAATGTTTCCAAGAAAATCAAGAGTCAGAAGCAGAGAGAAAGGTGATCTTCTCAGTTACCCCCACTCTCCTAAAAATCAATCAGAATCAATAGTTGTATCGAAGTGGGATGATGGTGATAAAGGGATAGAGAAAAAAGAGAGATTTCCCATAAATTGTACGTTATTGATGACTGACCACACAGAGGCTAATATCCACAACAGGAATAAGCATTTATAAATTCATGCATTAAAGCTCTGTTCTGCTCTAATGCAAAAATAACCCCTTGTTAACTTAAAGATTTTTAAGCCCAAAGCATAATGCAAGGTACTAAAATCAAAATATAGTTATAGGGAATTCAAATGCCTTATTATTCATTAATAGGCATTAAAAACTATAATAATGTAGAAGACTTCAATGAACCTACTTTAACTGACATTGAGTGTAAATATGACTTGATTAAATGACTGTTAATTGCCTGTCCAGCTATAGCTAATAAGTCTCTGCCAAATCTTAGCAATACATGTTATTTGCTTTCTACTTACTTGTTGTATTTATGCATATTTGATTATAACATATAATTAGCTTGCTGGGATTGTTTTTCTTTTTTTACTTTCTTTGTGTCCATGTGTTTAGTTCTATGAAATTTTGTCACATGTAAAGAGTGATGTAACTATCACCACAATCAAGATACAGAACCACCAAGTGTTCCCTGTCTACCCTTCATAGTCACACCCTGCCCTAACACCTGGCAACCACTGATCTTGTCTCCATCTCTATAATGTCATCATTTTCAAAGTTATATAAATGAAATCAAACAGGAGATACCTTTTCGTGAAGATTCAAATATTTTTTAAAGTATATATATATATATATGGTAACATACATATATTTACTTGGTATAATATTGCCTCAATTTATAAAAGTGTTGTAAGTTCAGTTTGAGTCTATGTACAAGACATTAGAGACAGCCCTGGGGATAAAATTGGCAGTGTGGACTGAAGGGTGAATCATTCCCCGACAAACAGCAGAGCTCTGTGCTTTTTTTTTTAAATCGGGGAAGAGCTTGCAACTGAGGTACATACCCTTCACCAAAATTAAACCTGGGACCTTCTAGTTTGCAGGCTGACGCTCTATACACTGAGCCAAATCAGCTAGTGCAGAGCTCTGTGATTTAAAAATGGCTCATGTGCTGGCTGGGTAGCTCT